ATGCATACATAACCAGTGCAGTGCAAATGTAGAAGGAACAGATTCTGCCTAGGAGTTCATTGACACTATAAGTATTGTTTGACCTGGACCTTGGAAAATGACTATAGATTTTTGAATGTGGACATAATTGTTCCAGGAATATAGAAAATAGTTTTTAAAAGAAACAGTAATGTGAAAGAATATTTTCTTTCATAGCAGTGCAGTTGCCTGAATGTATGGATATTTTAGCTGACAAAGTTGGCAGGTAAGGTAGGTACAAATTGTGGAAGTTTTAAATGTAATGCCAGAGTTCTAAGTTTAGAACCAGGTGGCCATTCAATGATTTTAAACTTAGGATTGATGTGAAATTTGTATTTCAGAATGGTCAGGCAGGCAGAAATGTGGAGAAAAGTTTGAAGTGAGTAACTTGTTGTCTATTACAGCAATGCATGGAACAATAATGAGATTGGGAACAATAATGAGTTTGGGAACAAAAGCAGGGGCACCATGTGGTCCTTTATGGTTGGGGGGACTACAACCTCTCATAGCTAAGGGATCTGTTTCCTTGAGAATTTTGAACAGTTTAAGCTATGAGCCTTAGTATTTTGTATCACCCAGCAGGGACAGATTCTTAACAGAGAGGTCAAAGAGTGAAGAGCATAGAAAATGCTCTGTCAATTGACTATTCTGTGGGCAAATGACAGCATGATACCCAGTGATGTCCTCCCCGAGGAACTAAAGTGGAATAAGACAGGCAGATTACAAATTTAAGCAGGGGATATAGAGGCTGACTGCTGAGAAGCAAGGACAGCATATAGGACAGCATGAGGTGGCGTTGTCAGACTTAAGCAGCTCTGATTAAGCAAAAGTGCCTTGCAGAATGTATCACCAAGTGGCCAAACTGCAGATTCTATAAAGAATGAATAGATCATGAAATAGAAGTCAAGAGGCTCCTGATAGTGGCTTGATGAAGACTATAAAGTTGGTAAGTGACCTACATTCCAGTTAAATTCACTTTTCACCAAGTTAGTGAAATACATTTCATTAGTTGCAAAATTTTGGTGAAAACTGTTCTGCTACCATTGCCTGACTCATTTTTTGACTATTTTGACTTCCAATAAACAACAGCTATTTGCTCAAAAGAAAAATAGGAATGGTGGAGGTGGGAGGATAAAGGAAGATCAAATGAAAATCTGACAATTAAAATGATAATATATTCTCATCTAGGATTGTCCTACTTTATGCGTAGGTTTGAGTACAATTTTCTGAATATATTTTAAATAATGTTTCCTTTTACTTTCAAAACTATCTTTGATTTGGTCAGTATATTATATGATTGCCCAAATGAAATCATGATTCTATATGGATATTGCAGGAGACAAAGGAACCTACAATATATTTGGGAAAGCAAAGATCACATATTTAAAACACCTCCAGAATGATGAAATATTAAATCATGTATTCTTACTTTTATCTGGAAAAAATACACTTATTGAAAGATACATAATAATAGACGCAAAATAGTCAGAAAATGTTTTACTATTGAAGAATTCATTACAATGAGTTTAGAAAAATGAGCAAAATTTAAGTACAAGGGAACAGAAGTAACATTATAGGTGAAAGAATCTTTGGTGACAGAAAGCTCTCTTATGCTCTTCTCCTCTCTCTCTCTCTCTCTCTCTCTCTCTCTCTCTCTCTCTCTCTCGTGTGTGTGTGTGTGTGTGTGTGTGTGTGTGTGTGATGAAATTAAGATTTGCATAGCTAGGTGCCATGGCACATGCCTGTAATCCCAATGGCTCTTGAGGCTGAGGCATGAGGATCAAGAGTTCAAAGCCAGCCTCAGCAATAAGCTAGGTGCTAAGCAACTCAGTGAGTTCCTATCTCTAAATAAAATACACAAAAGGACTGGGGATGTGGCTCAGTGATTGAGTATCCCTGAGTTCAATCCCCCAGTACCCTGTCTCCCCCTAAAAAAAGATTTGCCTGAATTAATGGAAGATGCATTTGATAATTAATTGAAAATAAATATGTTTAACAGCTGGTCCTTAACAGACTCTTCTAAAATGAATGAATGAATAGGATGAAATAGATTTATTCAGTGAAGGGGAATCTGGGTAGGCACTGAAGTGGCCAACTCTGACCTGCAAGCCAAATTTGACCCACCACAGTGGATAATTGGCCTCTAGTCCATTTACCTTCCCTTTAATACTACTGATTTACTTTGAAAATTAGATGAGTTTTTATAAAATTCCTCATTTCAACTTCCAGTTTACAATTGTCCTGTCTGCTTACAAAGCAAAATGGCTGCAGTCAAAGGGGACAACTGTTCCTTGCAAACAAACCCACATACTCTATAGCTTTCCATTATTCCTTTTCACTGCTTCATTTGTATAAATCTCTAACTTTTTAAATCGCCTGATTTTTGAGAGTTTGACTTTTGCTGGAGTGCTTGGGATCATCATCAGGAAGCTAAGTTAGTTATGATGTATAGCTTCACTGCAACTGATTTTGTAAAACTGAAACCTTTCTCTTTCCTCTAGCATATTTGTACTTGTATCTAGAATAATGACAGAATATAGTAGTGGTAAATGTTAAGCATTTACTATATCCAAACATGGTATTACTCTACTTTCAGTCATGTGTAAGTATGAATCACATTTCCAAGCAAATGCTAGTAATATAGCCTAGAACACACTGACATTCTCAACCTCAGTACATATATCTGGGAAATGAGGATGATATATCTTATATACTTTGTGAGGATTAAATAAGATCATGTATTCAAAGCACTTAAAGTGGTTCTTGGCATTAATCAACATCTGATTCATAAAAATAATATTTTCCCATTTGAAACCTTAACACTGGGAAATCTGAGGAAGCATGAACATTACTGAAGATTTCTGATAGATTAATTTGCATTGATTGACATGTTTCACGATGTATTAACACTCAATTGTAACTTTAATAGGCTCTACAAACATATTAGATATAAAAATGAAGTATTAATATTAAAGATAATATCCAATTGAAAATTCTCAGAAATGCAATTGTAACAGCCTGTTTGCTTGCACCAGGTGCACTTTATAATCACTAACATTAAGCCAGAAAGAAGTACCTTTTCACATTAATGTATACAGATTCATTTTTAAATATTTAATTACAATAGCCATTTAGAAGAAAAATATTATTTAATACTAATTTAAGACAAAAGAAAAGAGAATTGTTAGTTGTCAAACTACCACTAGAAACAACAGAGGTTGAACAGTTCTCTGGCATATTGCCCCTATTTCAAAACAAAAGAAAAACTAGGAAGTAGAAGATACGAATATCAATAATATATAGTTGGCAAATGTTTCACAATTAGAAGTCGCTTATATTCATTGAGTATATGATCATTTTTATATCTTTTTGTCAAAAGATGTACTTAAAGAGCAAATTCACAACTACTGAGTTTTGGACTTGTCTCTCACGTAAGCTTAATTTGTATAATACAAAATAATTCATTGTTTTAGTCAATGATGTCAAACAACTATTTTGACATACTAGTTTGACAACTAGTTTTCATTCTTTCAATATATGGTCTTGGAAATCTTGATAGGTTTCTGTTAGTATGACTTTTAAAGACTATACAAATAGAGGATTCATTAGATAATTTTCTCAAAGAGATCATGTGTTCACAATGAAAGTAAAATTAACATTTGAATTTTTAAACTTTGCATTCATTTTCTCCAATCACTACACTACAATTCATTATTAAAAGCAACATATATTTAGCCAGAAAAAAAAATCAAAGTAAGGGAACACTGATAATTACTTAGAGTGAATGGTATTTCATTGTTATAGGAAAGTGTTAATTTAAAAATAGTCTAAACTATTTTGTCAAAGATATCTATGAATGTGTAATTAAGATATTAAACAGGATAAAAATAAAATCAGTAAAAATATAGGTTTGCATTTTTGTAATGACAAATACTCATTTTCTTCCTTATCTACAAAAATATCACATTTTAAAATATTACAATGTATAGTATGTTAAATTATAGTTTGAACATGCCTAATCTGAAATTATGAAAACTCTCAATGTGGAAAATTAAGTGGCTGAACTCATGTGCCTGATCACCATCAAAATGCAGGAATAGCCAGTTTGGTATCACACACCTGTAATACTTGCCACAAGAGAAGCTTAGACAGGAGGATCACTAGTTCAAGGCTAACCTCAACAACTTATGAAGACTCTAAGCAACATAGAAAGACCCTGCCTCAAAATTTTTTAAAAAAGGGATAGGGATGTGGCTTAGTGTCAGAGTGCCTCTGGGTTCAATCCCCAGTACAATACACACACACACACACTATATATATATATATATATATATATATATATATATATACACACTATATATATATATATATACATATACACACACATACATACACTTACACCACATACACACACACACATATATACATATATATATGCAGGTACATTAAAATATTGTATGAAAATAGGTTCAAATTACATATATAAGATATGTATGAAACACAAATAAATTTTGTGTATAGAACAGGGTCCTATCCCCAAGATATGCCACTCAGTATATTCTAATTTTCCAAAACTTGAAAAATCCTGAATCAGAAATACTTCTGGTCTCAAGTATTTGGGATAAGGGATGCTTAACCTGCATAAATCTGTGATACAGTTATTTCATTAACTAAATTATTTAATTTCTTTCTTTCTTTTTGCTTTTTATTGGTGCAATATAATTGGCTGAATTATTTCAACTCGACCTTTACTTTAAGGATAATTGGTTGGACAACTGCAAAGGCAGTCCTAATAATTAATATTCAAAGTTCATTGCATTTCTTTTTTCCAAGTACAATTTACCTTAGCTAAAGAGAAATTAGAAGACCCAAAATACAAATATTTAATATCATTACCATTTTAAAATTATAATTTTGAACAGTAAAGAGGACTATTTTAATAGTATTAATGTTTCACATTTAAAATAATTTTAAAAACTTACTTGAAAACTGAATTGCAAATCCAGATTTACTGATATAAAAATCTGTATCAAACTGAACGGTTACTATGTTGAGGGTGCTGTGAATTCCTTCAGGAATGAGAGATCCACTAATTTCCTTTAAAAGCATCTCATTTTCTGGTGGACCATCCCAAACTCGTAGTATGTCATGTGATGCTTCCGTATCAAAAGCAAGAAACTGCAGGCTGTGGATGAATGATATTATCTCTGATTATTTTAAACAATGATTAAATTTTAAATAAGAAAAAAAGATGAATATGCACTGTAGTTTTTACTGAATATTCCTTTTTGCTGAGATGAAAAATGAATTAGATAAATAGCACATGTAATTTTAATTATTTTTTCTTAAACAATAAAATTTATTTCTTTAGAACACAATTAAAAACAGTATTTAATCATCTTTGCAAATTACATAAATTTCAGGTATACAGTCTTTTCAGTGTTTATGAATGTTAACTGTGGTAACTAAAGGTAAAATTTATGGAGGTTCTTGTATGTGCAAGGCTGCACAAATGTATTATGAATATTTTCCTTGTTAAATTGTTATAATGACTAATGGAGCAGGAACAATTTTAATCTCAATTTTACAAATGTGGCAAACAGAGTTTAGATAAATTAAATAATTGCACAAAGGGTAGCTGACTCATAAACTGAACTTAATTTGTCTGATCTCACAGTATACACTTTAACTACTGTTTCACATTAAATTTGTTCTGTTTAATGTCTAATCTAGACAAAATTAGCATCTGATACTTTCTGTGCCAAGTGAAAAAATTAGCATTCCTGTTATATCAACACACTTAACAGCAAATACACTTTCTTGTTTGATATATGAATTGTCACAGCTTTACATTTGGGTTGCATATAAATATCAGTTATTGTTCTTTAACAAAACCTCAGAAGCCTATTGAATTTAATATTTCCAAGTTTAATATGTCTGATATTTAAATAAAGCAATGCTTGATATAAACTAAAGGAAGATAAGCTAGGGATAGATCCAAGGAAACCTGTTTTGAGTTACACATATTTTCTTGCAAAAGCAGTGTACCAGTTCACACTGCAACCTGAAATTCATAGGAGTACACCACCTAGAAGCCTGTCTGAAATTTCATTTGTATGAAAAGCAATTCTTAAATTTAAAGTTATTAATGAGCAAAAACTCACTAATTAGCTTATAAGTCAAGGATGACTGTTCATTTATTAATCCACTCTCAGTCAAAGGCATAATAAGTAAAATGGGGTATGAGAGCTGTGTTAGCTTTGGAAACTTGACTTGTGTTGATCTCGAAGGCTACGGTTCTGTACTCATGTATGGGGCAAGGACTGGAACAATTGCAAGCCACCTACCTAAACTCAGTACTGTTAATGGGCAGAGAGCTGTTGCTTCAGAAATGTGCCTGAGACCAGGAAAGATGGGAAATGCTATTAAATTCTTTCTTCTAAATGCCAGTGAGGTTGCACTTAGTGACTTGAACAACTTTGTATACTTATCAAAATGATGGATTCAGCATCCCGAGTTATCAAGAATTGAAAGAACAAAGTCCACAAGAAGCAGGGAAGAATTTCAACTTCTGTACCCTCTTATAAGTAGGAAAAGTTTTCTCCTAAAGGGTTTCATGAGTTACTTTGCAGCCTACAATCCAAAATCAATAAATCATTCTAATGAGTACTTTATTTTTAATAATTTAAGCTCATGAAACCATGTTTTCCTTTACCAAGGTCAATACTATTGAAAAATCTTGATATTTGATTGATATTATACAAAGGAACTGAGCAAGAAAATCAGATTTCCTGGTAGCTTTGAGAAAATGAAATCTACTTACCTGACAATGTTTCCTGGATCTACCTCAATCATCCACATGCAACGCAGATTATTGTCATATGGAAAAGGGTAACCAGGAGATAAGATTCTTCCTGATGATTCTCCTTTAAAACGACCTCCACATTCAGCTAAAAAAATTTAAGTCACAATTCAATGAGAGTCTTTCCAAAACAATCTATAATTTTTTCAAGAGTATGTATTTTTTCGCATTAAGGAAAATTTAATCTCCCCTCTTCTTGGAAGTAAACATTTGTATAAGCATTCTTAGATCAAGATATTAATCGAAGCAAGGATATATTGTGTAATAAAATAACATAATCTCAAATTAGATCACATAAAAGAGGCAGGAGGATCTCGAATTCAAAGCCAACCTCAGCAATTTAGCAAGACATTAAGCAATTCAGTGAGACCCTGTCTCTAATAAAATACAAAATAGGATTAGGGATGTGGCTCAGTGGTCGGGTGTCCCTGAGTTCAATCCCTGGTACCCAAAAAAACCCAAAATTAAAAATAAATAAATAAATAAATAAATAAATAAACAAAGTAATGATAATTTTAAAAGGGAAACAGATGGTGAGTTGCTCACTGCTAGTGACTTGAATAATTCATCATCTTCCTATCCCATCTCTCAGAAAAACTAATCTTTACTGCAGTCCCCTGAGGCATTCTAAATTTCAGTGTCCTTTTATTCCCTTTTAAATCACCCTAAACTTTTCCCCTTTCAACCTCCCCAAAGTCAAACTGGCATTTTTATTATATTTTTTAATTCAATTAAATCTAATTTAGTTTTGATTCAACGTGGCCTCTAAGTTTTATAAAATTTATTGAATTAAAATATAAGTATTGCCATACAATGTAATTATAATTTTATTTTTTGAGAAATTTTCTCCTTATTTTAATTCTATCTGATACCCTCGGGATTTTTGAAGTGATCCTTCTCTGGTAAGGATATAATCTAGAAAAAACGGTCTGTATTGGAGAACAGAGAATCTAAGAATTTTGTTGACTATACTGACCTATATTTCTAAACCCTAGAAACAGGGAAAACACTGTGTAATGCATTATACATTTAAATATTCCCCAGATTATCCTTCTGCCAAAAATTAAGCAACAAAAAACCATTTTACTTTTAGCTTAAGTATAGGAAAATACTTATATTTATTTTCTTATTCTCTGTTTCTATTTTATTCAGATTCAGTGACTGAATAATATTTTTGTTGCTGCTTATCATTATTACTACTATTATTAGGCCAAAAAAAGATTAAAGACAGAAAGTTTTATGGTTTGGAAGAGACTCTAGTACATAGAATATGACTCAAATTAGTAAGCTCCATTTATGCAGATTTGTTTCAAAGATCTTAGTATATTGTACCACTCTGTGGTGATTAATTTTGTGTGTCCACTTGGCCAAGCTATAATACCCAGTTATTTAATCAAATGCTTATCTGGGTATGAAAGTATTCTGTAGATGTGGCTAACAGTTTAAGAAGATTACCCTCAGTAATGCAGGTAGACCTCATCCAATCAGTTGGAAGGCCTCAAAAGCAAAACCTGTTTTCTAAAAAAGGAAATTCTCCCTTGAAGCTACAGTGTTAATTCTTGCTTTGATTTTCAACCTGTTGATCTTCCCTATGGATTTTGGACTTGCCAGCACCCAGACATAAGTTCATTCTTTTTTTTTTTTTTAAGTGCTGGAGGTTGAACCCAGGGCCTCTTAACCACTGAGCCATATCCCTAACACTTTTTTTTTTAAATTTTTTATTTTGAGACAGGGTCTCACTAAGTTGCTGAGGCTCACTTTGAACTTGTGATCCTCCTCTTCACTATCTTGAGCTGCTGGATTTATAGGCATGCACCACTGCACTCAGTGCCTTAAAAAAATTTCTTAAGAGAAAGAAATCCTACTGGTTCTGCTTCTCTGCAGAACTTTGATACAAACAGAGGACTAAGAAAATATTATTTTGTATTGCAATATTGATTTTAATTTAATAAAGAAGTAATTTTTAAAATAAATTTTAAGATGTCGCCATCACTTACATTTTTTTTCTAATTTGTTTGACAAAAACTACAACTATATAAAAAACTGCAACTATATAATTACTGCAGGTTTATTAATTTTTCATCCTTTATGGTTTTTCACTATTATTGGCATACATTATTTTGAGGATACAGCAGATACTTCAATCTTCCAGATTAATTTTGAATCAGAGTTTTGTTTACTATATTCCGTTTTGAATTTAAACAGCTTTTTTCCTCCATATTTCTTTGCTCAACTATAACTTGGCACTCTGATCTCAAATGAATCAGTGGGATAGTTGTAACTAGAGTTCATATTCTGACAGAAGAATTATGTTTGCAAAATAAAAATGTGACATACTACTTGAAGAAGAAATAGGTTTAAATTCCTCCAGTTATGATGCTTCAAAAATTATTTTTTTCTTTGGTCAATTTATAAGCTTCAGAAATGTAATTACCTAGAAATTATCCATACAATTGAGAAAAATTTTGCATTTAACAGAGGCAAAAATATAGCCATAATAGATATTTAAAGTTAATGAGCAGAACAAAAAATATAATCTTATATCAGACGGTAAAGCTATTATTCTTGCTGGTAGAGAATACTATCTAAAATAGAATTTCATCTTCTGTTATCATGGAAATCATCGGCATCACTCAACATGTGCTAACTGCTTATAGTCATTAACCTTGACTACCATTATAAAATATAAAAGTTTACCCTTCCCAAAAAATATTATACTGTATCAAATCACTGTTTCACTTGGAATATTTATAAATATAAAATGCATTGATTTCTTGAAAACATAATTAAAATTTTCTGGTCTCAGACCAAATGTTCTAGTTGTATAAAATTTTTCCAAAAAGTATAGAATCTCTTCCATTTGGTTCAATGTACTCATTAAATATATGATTTTAATGTATTGTGTTGTGATTTTAATATTAAGGACATCATGGTGAAATAATATTTAAACATTTATATGTGATATTATAGCACTTAATGCTTTTCTGAACATATTTCATACCCAATTAAAAATACAGCATCTGTGCTGGGGATATAGCTAAGTTGGAAGAGTGCTTGTCTTGCATGCCCAAGGCCATGGGTTCAATCCCCAACACCACACACACACACACACACACACACACATGCAGAATCAGAAAGAATTAATCATTGGTGCATTTTTCTCATAACTAATGCCAATGGGCCTTTTATTGGTCATATTCCAGAATCCCAGACTTTTGGTAATTAAGGTTGATTACTATTTTAGGAATTATTCTCATAATTCATCCAAAATTTAGATGCCTTCTGAAAATAATAGACTGTGATTACATTTTGGTTAGATTAAAAATATGTATTATTTCCATGTGAATCAATATTTTAGTAGAGCAGCAGAGATCTCATGACATCAAAAACACAGTGCAATTGGTTGAAAGGCATCTAATGGCTAGAATTTCATTTTTTCTACTTGAATTCTAGCAAGTTTTGTGGTGATTTTAATGTTTATCATAAAACAAATGATAGAAAATTTCCACTTGCTTCTGAAGTTCGGACCTCTAAATTTATCAACTTGGCAACACTAAACACATATAATTTTTTTTTTAATCAATTATACTTGTTTATTTAAGCTGTTTAGAAAAACACTCATGTCAATTTTATCCAAACAGGCCTGACACAGAACGGATTTGTATTTCTAAAAGCCATCAAGAATTAAGAATGGATAAAAAAAAAATCTCTGCATGTTTGTTCCTTAGTAGGTTAGCATTTTTGATTAAAATGCTTTCTTTTGTTCTCCTAGTATTTTGAGTCCAAAGACTTGATCTTTGGTGCAAAAATGAAAGAGAGACAAAGATGTCTCTATCAATACTTATCTATACACCCTCACACCTTCACATGTACAATTATATATTAACTGATATTCAATATGGTAGAAATAAAAAGATAATCCAGCTATGCAATAATAATAAAAACAACCCATAATGATCATTCTCTAGGTTCATGTCCGCAATGTATCTTGTTACTGACTTTCACATGCCTTTTCCTTTTGAAATTGGCAATTATGCTACACACACATAAGAAAAGCCACTGGTATTTCAGTTTTTTAAAAGTTCATACATACAAAAATGTGTTTATGTTATTGAATAGATTTCCTGTTTTTTTTTTTTTAAATTCACCTTTATCTAAAGATGTGCATTAATTTTGTAAATTAAAACAAATTTCGTCAACAGGGTTCAATAGATTTGTATGATTAAAAGTCTTTAACATTTTTGTAGTGAGTTGAATTTTATATCAAGAGCAGACATATGACTCCATACAGACATACAGACCATATTACCCCGTAAAAAGTATACATTTATTTATTTATAGGGTGATGAAAAGGACCCTAACACTTCCCATGAATTTTCTTTGAAATTTTAAGCTATTAGTTCATTAACTTCCTGATTTAAGGTATGAGTTGTGTATGGACAGAGAGAATAATTTGAATATATAGAGTATGTTTTGGTAACATTTCCATAAACATATTTAAGGGAAGTCTAAAAGAGTATCCTACCAATACAGGAAGGCAGAGGATAGTCCCATGCCCTTCTCTCCCCTGTCATGCACTTCAGAAGGCTGCTTCCATGCAGAGTGTAGCCTGGATTGCATCCATAAATGATAGTGCTACCAGCAAAGTGGCCTTGGTCACTGATCTTGTATCCAAATTGTGGAATGCCAGGATCTTCACAATGTGAAAGTTCAAAACCTGAGAGAAATACATAAATTGAATAAAGGAAAAAATTAGCAAGAGAATTTAAAACTACACAAATTATTCCTTTACTTCACTATTTCAAATATGATTGTATACTTTTTCCTAGTTTTATTGCTCTTCTATATTTAACTGACAGTACACAAAATAGAACTCTTTTTTCTTAAAAACTAGAAACTGTTATATTTTTCAATTTTTTCAAATTTATCAGTGATATGGTCTCTATGACTATGTGAGGGCTTGTAGAAATAAGCTTACTGCCTACTCCACATGATTTTATAGTTCATATTAGATTCTGACAGGTCTACTATACTGTAAGAAGAAATGTATATTTAGTTTTTGTCCGCGGTTCTTGGCATATAGTTCCTAACACCCTTGGAATTTCCTGAGTGATAGGGGTAGAACATCTTTTGTTACCTACAATAAGCTGCTTTCAATCATACCTGAGTGTATGATCAAAAGGATTGCCTGTCTTTTGAAGAACGGTGATATGTTGCAAAAGGAACTAACCATTTGACTAGAAGATTGGAACTTTCAGCCCTTACCACCCTACTTCCAACACACACTTACTTTCATGAAGAGGAGAGGGGCTGAAAATTAATTACCAAACCAATGATTTAGTTCACTGTGTCTATGAAATGGAATTTCCTAAAGAACCTACAAAAACAGTTTTGAGAGCTTCAAGGTTGGTGAACATACCCATATGCTAGAAAGGTATCCTGTTGAAACTCCATGGGGACAGAAGCTCTTGCACTTGGGCCCCTTCTGGCCCAAGCCTATGTACATCTTTACCTGGCCTTTCATTTGTATTATGTGAGCATTCAAAATTACTGAATACAAAGGGATTAAGGGAGTCCTCAATTTATAGCTTGTCAGTAAGAACTTTAGAAGGGGCTATAT